TTTCGAAATTGTCGGCACCGAGATTGCTTCTTGTTAGATCCAATACTCTACCGGCTACACTAAAGGCGGATTCGACCGCAACAGTGGAGACGGGGCAAGCCAGAACATCCGTGGCAATACGTGCCAAAATTGGAAACGATGAACGTTTTGACTTCCACCACGCTAGTATGTCAAAATCTGTACTTTCTGTGGAATCAAATCTAACGGTTAAATAACTCTCAAGTTCCAATCATTGATTGGAACTTGAGGATGAGGACCTTGGGCGCTTGAAGCGCTCATGCAATAAACGTTGGGCCGCCAACATAGTAGATGTATCCGTCGATGTTGAAGCAGGATTGTTATTTGAAACATTAGATGTTCCAGATATACTAGCATATTCATCATAAAGTTCATTTAATAATGTAGTCGAAGTGCTAACAAGAGTAGGTATGTTAGGAAGTGGAGGACAATCAATCAATGATATATCCTTACACAAATTATCGTAATATATATGTAGCATATCAGGTAATAGATCAAGCCTAAGTCTAGGATCTAAAATTGTAGCAACCAAATATAGTTCAGGAATATTCATATAATATTTGCAGAATTTTTTCTTAATTTCATTCAGACACGGAACTAAAATTTCAATTTGCATAGCTTCGTTAATAACACCGGCAATATTGCATAACTGATAAACAACTAAATGAACAGTAGGATAATAAGTACCAGATAATAAATCAGAACTTTCGGAAAAAATGCTTAAAACATTACAAATTTTCAAGCATGTATCCCATTCAGATGGTAAAATATAAATTCCAGCCTGAGAAAATTCTGTTTGAAAAAATTGACATATTAAGTCTTTATATGCAAAAATTTGTTTTACAACTCTAAATGTTGAGTTCCAACGAGTTGGAGTATCCCGGTTAAATCTAACTTGATGCATGTGGTGGGTTTGACAAAACTCCCACCATTGTTTGGTAACCGACTTGTGTCGCCATATGTATTGAATACATGCTCTAATTTTAGTAATATGCGTTGACAACATTAGTAAACCATCTTGGACACATAAATTCAAAGTATGACATATGCACCTAATGTGAAAAAAAATCCCCCCACGTGCTGGCTTACATGGATAGAAGCCGTATTGGCACTTGCGTTATCGAATGAAATTGAAAAAACTTTTTCACTTAATAAATATGAATCTAACACATAGCGAAGTGATTGTGCAATTTCAGATGCAGGATGACTAGTATTCATAACTTGAAAAACAATTTTTTTTTTCAAGTTTCCATGCACGATTGATCCAATGACATGTTACACCCATATAGTCATTACGACCCCAATGATCACTCCAAATATCATAACAAATAGAAACTTTGTTGTCTAGCATAAGAAATTCCTGTACTAATTCAAGTTTAAGTCGAGAAACCAATTGCTTTGTAGTTCGAGTAGTTGTAGTTTTTGGTTGACAAGAACAACTAGGTCCATACATGTTTTTCAAACGGTCTATAAGACAATCATTATCAGCAAAACTAAATGAAAGTGATGCTAATGAAATAACTCTAGCCCATTCTTCTCTTTCTACAATTTTTGAAAATTTAAAAAGTTGAGAATCGGTACCTTCCTGTGAAGAATTAAATCTTAGTTGTGTTTGAGTTTTGTCACGACCGAATTCCGTCGGATATTTGCTAATCAAGTGCTTACGAAACGTCCCATGCCCATCGCCCTTTTTCCACGCGTATGATTTAGGGGCACCCTATATATTAAATTAAAAAACTATTAATACATTTGCTAACTTAAATAGACAAATGAATAAAAAATAAAAAACGTGCAAAAATAAATACCTTGCAATAATTTCAAAACGCTTGAATGCTCCCGTCCGCCATAACCGCTCTAGTAAAATGGACTGAGATTTTTTCGTAGAGAGAAGAGAGAGTGATGAGAGAGATATTTCAGAAGATGCAAGAAAGGGTAGAAGAGTAATTGCACAACAAAATTTAACATTGTCAAATTTCTGACCATTGACTGTTAAAATAGGGGGTTCTTTGATGTTTTCAATACTATAGGGGGGTAAATGCGACATATTCCATAGTACAGGGGTGCAAAGTGTATTTTACCCTAATAAAAAGGGCTTGAAAGGGGAGGAAAGGTAATTATCTGAAAATATTAGTGTTGATTTAATAAATAAAGGAAAATGGGAGGAAAGAATGGGTGCGACATGCAATATTTTAAAAATTACTATGGGATAATATAATAATAAAAATGACTTATAAGGGGTAGAAATGTAATTATTAGAAATGTAATTATTAAAGGAAAATGGGAGGAAAGAATGCGTGCAGCAAGCAATATTTTAAAAATTGATAGGTGTATAACATAATAATAAAAACTGGTTGCAAGGGATGGTAAAGTAATTATCCGCAAATGTTTCGGTTGATTTCTAAATAAAGGAAAATGAGAGGAAAGAATGGGTGCAACAAGAATATTTTAAAAATCACTGGGGATAATAAAATAATAAAAATGGCTTATCAATGGTGGAAATGTAATTACCCGATAATGTTAGGGCTAATTTTATAATTAAAAGAAAATGGGAGGAAAGAATGGGTGCAACAAGCAATATTTTAAAAATTACTGGGATAGTATAATAATAAAAAAAGCTTATCAGGGGTGGAAATGTAATTACCCTAAAATTTACGGCTGATTTTATAACTAAAGGAAAATGGGAGGAATGTATGGGTGCAACAAGCAATATTTAAAAATTACTGGGGGATAATATAATAATAAAAAGGGCTGATCAAGGGTGGAAATGTAATATTATGCGGAAATGTTAAGGCTAATTTTATAATTACAGGAAAATGGGAGGAAAGAATGCGTGCAGGAAGCCATATTTTAAAAATTGGTAGGTGTATAACTTAATAATAAAAAGGGCTTGCTAGGGGTTGTAATGTAATTATCCAAAAATGATAGGGCTCATTTTATAAATAAAAGAAAATGGGTGGAAAGAATGGGTGCAACAGGCAATATTTTAAAAATTACAGCGGAATGATATTATAATAAAAAGGGCTTGTCAATGGTGGAAATGTAATTACCCGAAAAAGTTAGGGCTGATTTTATAATTAACGGAAAATGGGAGGAAAGAATGTGTGCATCAAGCAATATTTTAAAAATTGGCTGGTGTATTATATAATAATAAAAAAAGTCTCACCAGGGGAGGAAATGTAATCATCCAAAAATGTTAGGGATGATTTTATAATTAAAGGAAAATGAGAGGAAAGCATGGGTGCTGCAAACAATATTTTAAAAATTGATAGGTGTATAGCATAATAATAATAATAAGGCTTACAAATGGTGGTAATGTAATTATCCGAAAATGTTAGCATTGATTTTATAAATAAAGGAAAATGGGAGGAAAGAATGGGTGCAGCTAGCAATATATTTAAAATAACTGGGTGCTAATATAATAATAAATAGAGCTTATCAGGGCCGGAAATGTAATTATCCGAAAATGTTAGGGCTGATTATGTAATTTAAGGAAAATGGGAAGAAATAGTGGGAATGGGAGGAAAAAATGGGTGCAACAAGCACTAATTAAAAAATTGACAAGTGTATAGTATAATAATAAAAAGACCTTGCAAGGGGTGGTCATGTGATTATCCAAATATGTTAGGGCTGAATTTATAATTAAAGGAAAATAGGCTGAGAGAATGGGTGCAACAAGCAATATTTTTAAAATTACTGGGTGCTAATATAATAATAAAAATGGCTTATCAGAGGTGGAAATGTAATTACCGAAAATGTTAGGGCTAATTTTATAATTAAATGAAAATGGGAGGAAAGCAGGGGTGCTGTGAGCAATATTTCAAAAATTGACAGTTGTATACTATAATAATAAAAAGGGCTTGCAAGGGGTGGAAATGTAATCATCTAAAACATTAGTGCTGATTTTATAAATAAAGGAAAGTGGGAGGAAAGAATGGGTGCGACATGCAATATTTTAAAAATTACTGGGGATAATATAATAATAAAACGGGCTGATCAGGAGTGGAAATGTAATTACCTAAAATTTTACGGCTGATTTTATAATTAAACGAAAATGGGAGGAAAGAATGGGTGCATCAAGCAATATTTTACAAATTACTGGGGATAATATAATAATCAAAGGGTTGATCATGGGTGGAAATGTAATTATCCAAAAATGCTAAGGCTACTTTTGTAATTAATGGAAAATGGGAGGAAAGAATGGGTGCAGCAAGCAATAATTTTAAAATTGATAGGTGTGTAACATAATAATAATCATTGTAAGATAAAGAAAAAAAAAAAGACACCTCAAATTTTGATCCAAAAAACTAGTAGACATATATTCTTCAAGAAACTCCCTAAAAATCAAATAAATACAGTTAAACCTCAATAAATTAATGCAGTCGGACTAGCGAAACTCTATTGATTTATCGAAATATTAATTTACTACATTTTTTTTCCGAGTCGGGACCGGAATAAATTATTATTAATTTAAACGGGACTATTAATTTATCGAGGTGATACTTGACTATCCGAAATAGCCCTTCTCACCAACAGGATGAGGAAGATTCCTGGAGGATAGAATTGTGGACTTCATTATCTCAGCAGGGATCAGAAATTGCTCTCTTCATTAGTTAAGCATAGCTCTATTACCACCTTACAAGGATTTATGGGTAAGTGAAAGCTGGCCGGATAAGGCTGCTGACGAGACGAGCAGGTTTGGAAGGCGCTTCCGATAGGTCGATTCAACACCAATGTATGAAGCGAAGCGTGGTTCGATCTACGCCCAACTCCATGATTTCATGCATGACTCTTCAGGCTATAAGTCGCTATAACCCCAGCTGAGAACAACTAAGGTCCAGTGTGTTGGAAAGCCAGCTCCTGCATTGGTTCTTTCTTTAAGTATGCGGGGGATTTACCATCCATCCGCTAGTTCTGAAGATCTCAGGCTTGGACCAAGCGGTTCCACTAAGTTTCATTAAGGAAGGGATCCTTCTATAAATCCATTAAAGAGCGTTTCCACCTGGTAGAACATCCTCAGGGAATATAAGGTTTTCATGAGGCTGATCTTGAGCCGCCATCCATGCACGAATACCATCGTTTAATAGAATATTTTTGGTGTAGAAAGTCTCAAATTCCGGATCTTCCGCTGCGCGAATTTCCTGAGAAACGAAGTCATAGGCACGTAAGTTCAGGGCCAAGCCGATTACTCCAAGAGCACTCATCCATAAACCGGTTAATGGTACAAATAACATAAAGAAATGTAACCAGCATTTATTGGAAAAAGCAACCCCAAAGATTTGGGACCAAAAACGGTTAGCATCGGCTTCTGTGTTGGACTTGGATACAGTTTCTTCTTTCTTGCTTTTCCAAGAGATCAATGATGAGCCAAGGAAAAACAACCACCGCTTGGTTTTGACACTCAAGCGACCCGCCCTACTAAACATCGATGGAAATGTTAGATTTGACCACCTCTATCTACCCAACTAGTCCTATTTGATCTAAAAAATCCAACCTGGATGCTGGATAAATACCTTTGGCAGCTAATCCTCTTGATAGTACGGTAGTAGCTGTAGACGCATAAAATTAATTAATTGGTTAATTAAATTAGCCAATTAAATTGTGTCTAAATTAAATTATAATTTATCTTACAAAATAAGTTATGGAGATCATTATCAATTAATTATTGGCCAATAGGATTGTTTCTTCTCTTCCAAGTTATAAGAGATAAATATCAATTTAAAGAGAGCCAATCAAATCGCGCCACGTCATCAAGTAGACTTTAAGTGGGACTCTTATTCTACCACTATAAATAGGGACCCTCCCTACACAATTCAAAACACAACTCAAGAAGAAGAAAAACCGTAGGAGAAAATTCTCTCTACAATATTCAAGTCGTTCTTCATCAAATTCAAGGCGAAATCGAAGGAGTTCATCAAATCGAAGGTGTTCTTCATCAAATCAAGGTGTTCTTCATCAAATCAAGGCGTTAAAGCGTTTAATTCGAGATTACGTTGCTAAACCCTTGAATTAACGTTATTAACATCAAATCAAGATCGAAGGAAGATTGAAGGGCCAAATCCATCAAGAACTCCAAGATCTTCAAGTCAAAATCCGTCAAAGTTCAACGTTTGATCCGAGATTCAAGTCGCAAGACCCTCGGAAGGCGTTATTCAAATCCAAATCAAATCCGGAGAAGATCAAGTCAACGACTCGTCTCCGAAATTCAAAGTCAATCATATATTTTTCTTGAGAGAAGAATCAGAGGATTAAATTAGAGTTTGTAACCCGCAATATTTTATTTTAAATTCAATAAATTATCTTTGTGCAAGTTTTTCTTGTTTGTCTAAATTCGCAGATAAGAATTTGTTGCTACAAATTTTGGCACGCCCGGTGGGACATCTCTACCTCTCATCTCTTCTCTCTCTCGAAGATCCTCAAAGTGTTGCAGTGACTGCTCTACGTTCGCAATGACGACTGCTACTTTGGATTCATTAAGTGTGGGCTTAGTTACAAGGAGTATGGCTAAGAAGCTACAAGCATCCTCCAAGACTAGCTCGACTCCCCAAACCGTTCAAAAAGGCTTACCACCTCTTGTCAACACAAACGCATACGTGGAAGGCTCAAAACGAGAGATTTCACACCCCATGCCTCATTCAGCATCAAGCTACTCAGAGATAGCATCCGTCATGACAACAAATGCTACAACTATGGAAGAAGCATCCTCCAAGACTAGCTCGACGCCCCAAACCGTTCAGAAAGGCTTACCACCTCTTGTCAACACAAGCGCAGACGTGGAAGGCTCAAAACGAGAGATGTCACAACTCATGCCTCATTCAACATCAAGCTACTCAGAGATGGCATCCGTCATGACAACAAACGCTACAACTATGGAAGAGCAAATTGCAAGTTTGACTAAGGCTATTGAGGGACTCACAAAGCATGTTCAACAACGAGATTCTCAAATTGCCAAGTTGATCAAGAAGATAGACAAAGCCGATGCTAGTCAAGCTGTGCAGAATCAGATAGAGGCTCAAGACGAAGTCGAGACATCCACAAAGAAACAGCCAGTTGAAAACGAGAAGGCTCCAGCTCAAGATTTTCAAGTTTCTCCAGAAGGGATGATTCTTGTAGATCAAGTGATGACGCTGATCAGTGGAACTATCAAAGATAAGCTGGAAGGAAGCTCGAAGTCGCCATCAACCTATGTCAAGCCATACACGCAAAGGATTGATGATCTAAAGATGCCAATGGGCTATGTACCTCCAAAGTTTCAACAATTTGACGGCAAAGGCAACCCCAAACAACATGTGGCACACTTCGTTGAGACTTGCAATGATGCCGGAACATACGGAGATCACCTCGTCAAGCAATTCGTCCGATCGCTCAAAGATAATGCGTTTGATTGGTACATTGATTTGGGGGCAAACTCCATTGATAGTTGGAGGCACTTACAGGAAGAATTTCTCAACCGCTTTTACAGCACTCGAAGAACTGTCAGCATGATGGAGCTCACCAATTCCCGCCAATGGAAGAAGGAACGTGTCATCGACTACATCAACCGTTGGAGAAATTTGAGTCTTAATTGCAAGGATCGACTGCCTGAGACATCAGCTATTGAATTGTGCATCCAAGGAATGCAATGGGGACTCCGATATATCCTTCAAGGAATTCAACCTAAAAGTTTTGAAGAGTTGGCCACTCGAGCACATGATATGGAGTTGAGCATACTTGCAAATCAAATTGAAGAATCACCATTCCAAAAGCCGTACCAGCTCAAAGAAGTGCATCTTGAAGAAGAACAAGAAAAACATGAGGATGGGGGCAAGTCTTTTGAATAAGCAACACCCTATGCAATATGACAAGTCAAATCAAATGAAGCACTCCTTGACACCAATTTAAAAGTTCTACAAGTCCAAATCAAGTGAAACACTCCTTGACACGAGTTTAAAAGGTCTACATGTCCAAATCAAATGAAGCACTCCTTGATACGAGTTTAAAAGGTCTACAAGTCCAAATCAAGTGAAATACTCCTTGACACGAGTTTAAAAGGTCTACATGTCCAAATCAAATGAAGCACTCCTTGATACGAGTTTAAAAGGTCTACAAGTCCAAATCAAGTGAAATACTCCTTGACACGAGTTTAAAAGGTCTACATGTCCAAATCAAATCAAACACTCCTTGACACGAGTTTAAAAGGTCTACATGTCCGAATCAAATGAAATACTCTTTGACACGAGTTTAAAAGGTCTACATGTCGGAATCAAATGAAATACTCCTTGACACGAGTTTAAAAGGTCTACATGTCCAAATTAAACGAAGTACTCATTGACACGAGTTTAAAAGGTCTACATGCCCAAATCAAACAAAGTACTCATTGACACGAGTTTAAAAGGTCTACATGTCCAAAACAAACGAAGTACTCCTTGACGCGAGTTTAAAATGTCAACATATCCAAATCAAACCAAGGCTCCTTGATACGAGCATAAACTATCTATATATCCAAATCTAGTTAAGGCTCCTTGATACGAGCATAAACTATCTACATATTCAAATCAAGTCAAGACTCCTTGATACGAGCATAAACTATCTATATATCTAAATCAAGTCAAGGCTCCTTGATACGAGTATAAACTATCTATACATATCAAGTGAAGGCTCTTTGATACGAGCATAAACTATCTATATATCCAAATCAAGTCAAGGCTCCTCGATACGAGCATAAACTATCTATATATCGAAATCAAGTCAAGGCTCCTTGATACGAGCATAAACTATCTACAAATTCAAGTCAAATGCTCCTTCAGTACGAGCTTAAACTGCAAATGTTTCTCCTTGTCCACATGAGTATAAACTGTGCACGACATCCCTTAAAAGGATATATTTTGAACTACGTTATGACTTGATCCCTTTATAGGGTACGTAGGCAACTTAGAATCTCTCTAAGTTCAGTCATGATTTCAAAAGATATATGTTCTTTGCTAGATCAAGCTGCAATCGAAGTTGAGCAATTATCGAGACTCATCCACTCCAAGATGCATTGTCCGTGAACAAGTCTCGAGGGGGCATTTGTAGACGCATAAAATTAATTAATTGGTTAATTAAATTAGCCAATTAAATTGTGTCTAAATTAAATTATAATTTATCTTACAAAATAAGTTATGGAGATCATTATCAATTAATTATTGGCCAATAGGATTGTTTCTTCTCTTCCAAGTTATAAGAGATAAATATCAATTTAAAGAGAGCCAATCAAATCGCGCCACGTCATCAAGTAGACTTTAAGTGGGACTCTTATTCTACCACTATAAATAGGGACCCTCCCTACACAATTCAAAACACAACTCAAGAAGAAGAAAAACCGTAGGAGAAAATTCTCTCTACAATATTCAAGTCGTTCTTCATCAAATTCAAGGCGAAATCGAAGGAGTTCATCAAATCGAAGGTGTTCTTCATCAAATCAAGGTGTTCTTCATCAAATCAAGGCGTTAAAGCGTTTAATTCGAGATTACGTTGCTAAACCCTCGAATTAACGTTATTAACATCAAATCAAGATCGAAGGAAGATTGAAGGGCCAAATCCATCAAGAACTCCAAGATCTTCAAGTCAAAATCCGTCAAAGTTCAACGATTGATCCGAGATTCAAGTCGCAAGACCCTCGGAAGGCGTTATTCAAATCCAAATCAAATCCGGAGAAGATCAAGTCAACGACTCGTCTCCGAAATTCAAAGTCAATCATATATTTTTCTTGAGAGAAGAATCAGAGGATTAAATTAGAGTTTGTAACCCGCAATATTTTATTTTAAATTCAATAAATTATCTTTGTGCAAGTTTTTCTTGTTTGTCTAAATTCGCAGATAAGAATTTGTTGCTACAGTAGCATCTAAATGTGCAAATGTCGTAGCAGGGGTAGGATCGGTCAAATCGTCTGCAGGTACATAAACTGCTTGAATAGACGTTATGGACCCCTCTTTGGTAGAGGTAATTCTTTCTTGTAAAGAGCCCATTTCGGTACTCAGGGTGGGTTGATAACCGTAAAAAAATATCTCGAGAAATCTATGAAGATAGAATTCGGTCTCAAGAAGCAAGTCGGTGTTTTACGACCAATCACAAGTTTCATGTTGGACGCAGTATGAATACTGGAAATTATGATCAAAGATTCCTCTATCAACCGCCATCTACTTCGGAGATACCTACTGAAACCTTTTTTTAAATAATTCATAGGTTTGATATCTTATCTCAAACTCATGTTGAAAGACATATTCAATCACATAAAGTCGACAAATGAAGTTGGTTAATTAAAAATTCACAGGTGAAAAATGGCAAAAACGAAAGCATTCACTCCTCTTTTGTATCTTGCATCTATAGTATTTTTACCCCGGTGGATTTCTCTCTATAGCATTCACGGAAGGTTATAATTTTGGGGATTTCAGGGCAGCGCGCCTGA